CATCCTGTCCTGACCCAACAGAGGCAGGACTTGAGCCCATGACCCTGTTCTCCCCAGGTGAGTGCCCTATCCCCTAGGCCACGCGGGAACCTGCCCCAACACCTTATCGGGGAGAGGCCCTTTATCCCGCCTGCCCCTGGGCCGTCCGGGTGTCCCTCATCCAATCCTGTACCCACCCAGGGGAGGCGGGACTTGAACCCCCGACCCTGTCCTCCCCAGGCGATTGCCCTATCCCCCAGGCCACGCAGGAACCTGCCCCACCACAGGGATGCCCCTTATCCCATTTGGCTGTCCTGAACCAGCCCTGGGGATATTTAAATCCCCGCTTCATTAGCAATTTCGGTCGGCTACATTTGCATCCCTAGCTCGAACTAGGGAGCAAGTGTAGACATACCCTTTGAGAGTTTCAAAACTCAGTTGGATCCTTGTGTGGAAATTAAGGTGAACCCTGGCCTACATAATAGCAGGAAAAGACCTGACCAAGCCAAAGTTGTTACACTGACCTCTACAATCACCAAACTAGGGATGTAAGATAGAGGGTGATAAAACAGTCAATTAACCTCATGAATTCTTAGCCATTAGTCAACCATTCTATAGTTCCTGGGGGCAGGACTGGCAGCCAGTGCACTCCAGCCCCACTCCTGGGGAGCCCCTTGAGACCTCACACTGCTGCCTTTGTATCGGAGGCAGCAGCGTGGGGTGCCTGGCGGGAGCTGGTCCGTGAGGAGAGCCAGTTTACAAATCAGCTCCCCTTGCAGCATGGCTGCCTGCTGCACTGCCCTGCTGCCTCTGATACAGCGGCAGCTGCATGGGATGGCAGCAGCTCTTGTCCATGGGGGCTCCAAGCTCCCTGTAGACAGAGGCTGCTGGGAGGAGGGGACAGGGGAGACTGCTGCGAAGGAGCCTCTGTCTGCAGCGGGCCTAAGCTCCGGCAGCAGCCCCTGTCCGTGGGGAGCTCGGATTCCCTGCAGACAGGGGCTGCTGCCATGAAGCAGCCTCTGCCTGTGACAAGCCTGTGCCTGCCATGGGCAGAGGCTGCTTTGCAGCAGACTTCCCCACACTGCTACCTTTAATAGGGAGCAAGCAGCATCATGGAGCCGGTGCTGGGGGGGAAATCCAGCTTTTAAGCCAACTCCCCCCAGCACCAGCTCCTGCTCTCCCCACCCCACCCCTGATACAGAGGCAGCAAAGGGGCAGGGGAATGCAAGTAGTGGACTAGATTAATTGATAAGCCTAGTCTTATCGATTAATCATCTACTTGACTACTTGTTCACATCCCTACATAAAACTAGACTTAAAGTGTGGTCATCTCTGCTTGGAGTCTGAAATCAGGTTGAATGGGCCACAGGAGCCATGAAGTGTGTTTGTTCCCTCCCCAACCCAAAAGAGCTCTTGATACAGACTACAAAGCCTCCTTAAGTAACAAGCTTTGGCTACCTCTATACCACATGTAAGAAAAAACTTCAGTCAATTCAGAGGGATTTCAGATGCGATATGACAACCTGTACATCTAAACTATATCTTGCTCTTGCTTAGCTCAACCCAAGATTAATGTGCAAGGTGAATAATGTCAAATATTATTTTGGAACCATGTGTTTCCTACACCTAAGGTCAAGTAAACAACCACCTCTCCAGTCTTCTCTACTCTTGCCTCCCTGTGATTTAAAATATACATAAAAGGCACTTAGGCACTTAAAAAGAGAAAAAGGTAAAAGATGTGCCAGTGTAAACATTTGTGGTGTTGATAGGCTGAAGCCAACTGCCTGCTTCTCTTTCATTAATGATCTTACAAATTAAAAGCAAGTCTCCCTATCCTCGTTAAGTTGCAGATTGCGTTTCAGAAGCGTAATTTCTACATTTCTGAGTGCTGAGTGAGAAGGACAGAATACCAGAATTAAACACTCCCTTACAACTCCTCACTTAAATGTAAATGTGTGGAATACTTAAGTTGGTCTTCTAAATTAATGCTGGTATCCTTACAATGAACATGAAAGAGTGAGAGCTGGCAAGAAAAGATATAAACAAACTTTTATATGACCAATTAAGCAATAGTTAAGCTTGCAGTAGAAGCCTTTTATGAGTCAAAATGATTCAGAGAACTAATGTACTGAAGTTAACATACTTCTCCTTCCACATATTCAAGTGGGTCCCACCACTGGTATAAGCTGGCATTGCACTACTGGTTCAATTGAGCAATACCAGTTCATACCAGCAGAGGATCTGGGTCCACAGTGTATTAAAATATCATTGGTCTCCATTGTTCAGGGTTTTAAAAATTCCATAAATGTTCTGTGAACAAATGACCATTTGCGCAAATTGTAAGATGACTATAAATACATCGAAAATTATCTTTTGTCTCTTGCCAAACCATTGACAGCCTGTAGCTATTTACAATAAAATACTAAGTAGTATGAGCAGGTTTTTATTTAAACAGTATCGTAAGTTATTTAACATGTATGTAGTGTCATAGTTTTGCCTACCTCTTTTGTTTACTAATGACTTTATATTATTAAGTGGCTTACCAATAAACCTAAGCTGCTGTTTTTGTCTGTATTTACTATGGGTAAATTTGGAGCAATATTAAATTGTTTTCCTAAGTTTCATTTTGCACAAATACATGTCAACCCTAATATAATAATATTATATTTGTCAAAAATGTGCCAGTCTAGTAAGTACAAGATTTTTACCCAGACATTCCCCTGCATCCTGTGCCCTCAAATATTTTAATACTGAGAGCCTGAAAGTGACTTACTATAAGCAAACCATAGCTGAATTGAATAGTCTGCTTTCATTTTAAAAGCTTAATGAAATGTAAAAAGTAAACAACAATGAAAATAATGGAAAGTAATCTTTTTAAAAGCTATCAGGCCAAGTCCAGAACTGGTATAAATCGGCATGGCTCCATGGAAGACACTGAAGCTTTGCCAATTTATACCATCTAAGGATCTAACCCATGATGTTTAATGTGATGGATTAAACATGTTTATTTCACATCAAAGTTCTTGCTTTGTAGCATATCTGGAACAATCAATAGATTGCCAGAATTCCACATGAGCCTATCCAGCACCTGCAGTTCTTCAATGAGACAATTTTATCTCCATGATCCTAGGCTTGGAAGATACTAGAAACCCAGAACTAACTACTGAAATCTACTAATACATAGCCAGAGACTTCTGTACTGAATTCTATCCCAACAAAAATAGAAGGCTGTGGTAATTTGGCTTAGAATCAGAGGACTGGAAGGGACAGAGAGGTTTTCTATTCCAATCCCCTGCACTCTAGGCAAGACTAAGCATTATCTAGATCCTCCCTACATGTCTGTCCAACCTACTCTTAAAAATCTTAAATGATAGCACGAGGGTGGGGAACTTAAGGCCCAGGGGATGGATGCAGTCCCCACGTTGCTTGGATCTGGCCCTTGGAACTTGGGAATCCCCTCCCAGCATTGTGGAGCCCATGCTGGTGCTCTAGTTCCTCTGCTGTTCTCCAAGGGGCTTGGTGCACACAAAAACTACTAACTTGGGCCCCCTTCGGTTCAGGTGTGCAAGAGGAATGTTAGGAGTCTCTCGCCTTCTCAGTCAGGGACCATATTAGTGAGGGTTTGGTTGGCTTTTTTTTTTTTTTTTTTTTGCGCTTTTCACTTGTATGCGACCCCTGATTGATTTTGTTGTGGGTCAGTGGCCCCCAACCCAAAAAAGGTTTTCCATCCCTGTGATAGAGCTTCCATAACCTCCCTAGGCAATTTATTCCAGTGCTTAGCTCCTGACAGGTAGGAAGTTTTTCCCAATGTCCAACATAAACTGTCCTTGATGCAATTTAAACTCACTGCTTCTTATCCTACCCTTAAAGGTTAATAATTTTTCTCTCTCCTCCTTGTAACAAAAACTATTATGTACTTGAAAACTCTTATGTCCCCCTCATTCTTTTCTTCTTCCAAACCAAACCAATTTTTTTCTAGCTCTTTAATCATTTTTGTTGCTCTTCTTTGGACTCTCTCAAATTTGTCCACATCTTTCCTGAAATGTGGCCAGAACTGGATACAATATACCAGTTGAGGCCTAATTAGCATGAAATAGAGCAGAAGAATTAATTCTTGCATCTTGCTTACAAAACTCCTGCTAATATATCCCACAATGATCATTGCCTTTTTGTGGGCGGGGGACAATTGTGTTACTCATATTTTGCAACTGTCGACTCTCATTCATCTGGAGATCCAGTATGATTCACAGATCTTTCTGCAGTACTCCCTCCTATGCAATCATTTCATATTTTGTATGTGTGCAACTGATTGTTCCTTTCTAGGTTGAGTATTTTACATATATCCTTTCATTTTATTTTTGTTTAGTTCTGTTTTTGTTTGTAGTAGTCTGTAATTTGTCTAGATGAAATTAGGAATTGCTGGCGTTCATACTCCAAAAGCTTATGAGACTGCTTACCCATTACCCAGTTGTTGGACAATTATACAATCACCCCTATAGCATTTTAAAAAAGGGAAAAAAGAGGGTGGAGAAAGTATGATCAGTAACCCAAAAATGGTGCTTGAATTGTACTGGACAAAAAAAAAAAAAAAAAAAAAGTGATTTTTCAATTTTGTTCTGCAACGATTATCTTGGTGAGATCACTCCAGATATCATGTTTAGGTATTCAGAAGATAATAGGTTTATCTGAGGCCTAGTCTACACTACCATGGGCTGCTGATGTAAGTTACACAATTTCAGCTATGTTTTTCATGTAGCTGAAATCGACTATGGGAAGTGAAGAGCTGACAATCTCCCATCAATTCCCCTTACCCTTCTCATTCTGTTGGACTACCAGAGTTGATACAAGAACACTTGGTGGTTGATTTATCAAATCTATACTAGATGCGATAAATCAACCCATTGCTGGATTGACTGCTGCCTGTTGATCCAGGGGATAGTAAAGCCATGCCCTCAATCTTTCATACAGTGGCAAAGTGTCTTACTGAAAATTGTATTTCTATCAAGAATCTTAACACTTACCTTGGAAACAAAACATTCTGCAATAGCCACAGGGTCATTTTCACAGTTTTCCAAATCTTGCAAAAGTTCACTAATAAATGGGAAAAAATGAGGGGAAAATGGGAAAAAATTACATTTATAATATTTTTACACAGTCATACATGACTATGCTTCATCTTTGTCTCTTCTCACATCATAAAACCCATTTTTAAGCATTAATTTTAACCACACCAACATTCACACCTACACATTTCTTGTTTCCAGTTAGTACAGCATGTGTTGCTATGGGCAATAATAAACAAGTACTAAAATCCAGTGATTTAGAGTGAGAGAGAAACAGAATACACAGACAGGTTTTCAATACAGTATTTTCCTTTTCCTTTGCACTCATCAGCTTTTTCACTATAACACCTTCAACGGTTCATTGACTAACTGGTCTAAGCATTGGTTTCAAGGCAAAATACTGTGAGTGGCCTAGTGCAGGTGAAGACCCAAAGTCTAGTTAGACATCCAAACCCTGATGAAAGTCAATGAGAGTAAATGCCCATGCATTTGAAAATATTTTGCATTATCTTTTGATTGTACGTAAAGTTAGACATGCCTTTGTTATGTTCATAATTTATAAACATACTACTGACGATGAATGCATGTGGGGCAGCATTTTTTGTCTCCCACTCAGGACAAACAATTAAATGGTTGTGGAATACCATATACATCAAAGACCGGGGTAATCCAGTTGCAGTAGCATTAATGAAAAATTCATCTTTTTAACAGAGTGAACCATTTGGTGAACAAAGGAAGAAAAACAGAAAGTACCAGCAAGTAATTAGAAATTCAATACTGACTTTTCATTTTTCAAGTGTTTTGACATGTTTATGTTGAAAACTTCAGGCTACCAGTGAAAAAGAAAAATCAAGAAAGAAATACATCACCATCATAACCACACATAGCCCAAGAAAGTTCCTGTGACCAAAAGTACTTAGCAGATACATAATTCTCTTCTGTTTTTTCTACTTTAGTACAAAGTTACTTTTTCCCCTAATTGGAGCACCTAGAGTTACTTCTAAAAAATCCTCTTGATAATAATCCAAATGATGTCATCATGAAGATTACAGAGCAGCAATAATCTAACATATTTATAGATACTGCTGCCCCTGTCCAAGTATCTATGTAATTGAACAGCAGGATAATGGCAGGGCCAGACCATCAAGATAGTGCAGGATCTAGGCCAGCAGCTTTCCCTTATTCCACCACAGATTTGGCACATGCTGGTCCCCTTTGCACCATGCTTAAGAAAGATTAGTAGAAGTACTGAAGAGTATTTCATTGTAGAACTTCATGTCAATTTGTAAGTACAATACCTGATTGGGATGGGAGAGGTTGCCTTAGATTATCTTTTACAGTGAAAAGCATTTATTTGTAAGGATTCTTCTGGAAGCAAGGCAGAGGAGCAAGGCAGCAGAAGCTGATTAAGAGGGGATTTGCCTTCCCTATGTATGGTGTGAAACCAAAGTCTTATGAGAGGGTAGGTCTACATTACAAGGTTTTTGCGCAAAAACCAGCAAAGCATCCACACCTCAAGCGGTTTTTGCACAAGAAAATTGACAGAGCAGAGGGCATTTGCCTGTAGAGTTATTCCTCAACCCCACAAGGAATAACTCCTTTTTGTGCTACAGCTCTTGCGCAAAAAAGGCAGGTGTGGACTCTATAACTCCTTTTTGTGCTACAGCTCTTGCACAAAAAAGGCAGGTGTGGACTCTCCACAGGGGATTTTGCGAAAGAACCCCCTATTGGAAAAAGCACAGGTGCTCAAGATGTGAATGGCCATCAGAAATTTCTTGTGCAAGAGTATCCAAGCAGTGTGGATGCTCTCCTGCACAAAAGCACATGGCTTTTGTGATGCACTTTGAGGTCTGAAAGCACTTTTGCCCAAGAAGTTTTTGCACAACAACTCTTCTGCAAAAGGCTTCTTGTGCAAAAACCCTGCAGTGTAGACTAAGCTAGAGGAGTGCAGTTTTCCTTGAAGATATGAAGGAAGACAGGAGAAACAGTTCAAGTGTACACTGTTCTCCTCTGAGAAATAGCAAAGGAAGCTTTCAAAGTGTGCCGGAGGGGAAGCATGACACAAACACTGCAACTAGCATCACAATATCCATCGTGACAATTGGTGCAGCCTAAAACTCAACAGTGTTTCAATCATAAGAAGAAACTTGAACTGGATCACACTCTGTCATGTCTAAGTTAAGGCCACAAAATCTTGGTGTAACAAACCCTTATGAAATCATCATCATCAATAAATCCATGTGTATATAATAACCACCTTCTAAAATTAACTGACCAATCTTTATTTCTCTGAATACTCATAGGCATCAAAATCCTCATTCCGGATAAAAAGCCAAATACAAGTTTGGAAAAAACAAATTCGCTTTGAAACTATAAAACCACAAATGTTCACACACGGAGACACACAACTGCCAATTCATAACTGCCAAATTAAACGTTTTTCAAATGTAAAAATGAATAAAGTAACCAAACAGACTCTAGAGTGCATTTAAGACCCAGATGCCAAGTTTCAGACAGCAGTGAATTTTTATAGCAGAGAAGTAATCTCTCTGAATCCCTGAATCTATATTGGGATCTATAATGAAACCAGTCATAATCTTCAAAGCTACTATTTCCACACAGAGCTTTAAACTGGGTGCTCTGAAAGACATTAAAGATAGTTTTATTAGAGCTTTGAAAAAATGTCAATGTAAAGCACATGAAGAGTCTATAAAATTGTAGCAGCACTATTTCTCCTCAAAAGTGTTTTAAAAAGGTTAATATCCCAAGTTCCTTTTTTGCAATTCTGCTATTCCACTGCAACAGTTGATACACTACTAAACAGCACATTAGACTAAACAGTATTTACATTTTTGCCAGAAAAACTGCATATGTACTAGAGGCTATTGCCAGCATAATTCTCTTGGTCACAAATCACACCTCATCCCACCTCTGACCTTGTAGCTGTGCCAGCAGAAGTTTCATAGTGTAAACATTGCCACGCTACAAGTAGGGAGTGATGACTGACTTCTCAAGCTGGTGAGGAGGGCAAACATTTTACCCTGTCAGGCTGAGACTGAGGCACTGAGAAAGGCAAGCTGGCTGGAGATCACTCCAAATAAGTCAGATGTGATATTGGTAAGTTGCAGAAAAGAACCTCAACACAGAGCATGAGGATTATATTGGTCCCTTAAATTGACAGCATGTGTCTGCTGTGTCTTACTCAGTTTGGAAAGTGTAAATTCTTGCTGTTGGAAGATTAGGTGACAGCAATGATCAAGATCATTTCCCCCACTGTCTGGCCCAGAAGTTGTAATATCAATGCCATGATCTTATGCATCTATTATCTATCGATAAATGAAACCGGGATTTGAATTTCCTGAGCTTCATTTGCATAATGGCAGCCACACGTTCTTTCGAAAAAGGGCTTTTTGAAAGTGAAACCGCCATCTAGATCTTTCAAAAAAAGGGTTTTTTCAGAAGAACGGCATCTAGACAGTGGTTTCACTTTCAAAAAGCCCTTTTTTTGAAAAAACATGCGGCCACCATTATGTAGTCTAGACATATCTTTAGTGTACAGGGTAATTCGCTATGAGCACATTGCACTTGTTTTTCCATGATCTGCTTTGGGTTTCTGGGGAGAATTCTAGTCATTGGTTGTGTTCTGCTGGCACGGGTTCCCCTCTGTGCCTCTTCACTGAAATGTACAAGTCTCGTGGTGGCTCTTGTACATTCCAAAGGGACAGGAGCTGCATTGGAACCGGCACGAGTGGGACTCAATCCCTGCTCGTGCCATTTCCCCACTGGTCCCAGCACCCCCCCCCCACTCTGTTGCTGGGAGAGGGGGATTAAGCCGGCTCCCACCCAGCAGCAGCTCGTGCTCCCCCCCTCTCCTTGCTGCCTCTCTCCGACAGAGGCAGCAGGGGATGGGGGAGGGAAGTGATTAGTCGAGTTCCTACTCTATCACCCAATACGCATTTGCTTATCGGGTAGTAGACTAGTCGCTAACATCCCTAGACGGCAGTGGGGCAGGGTGGTCAGGTGGCCTCAGCACGAGAACCCCCAGTGGCAGCAGGGCCAAGTGGCAGTGGGAGAGCCTTGGCCAGGGAGCCCCAGGAAATTCCCAGCGGCAGCAGGCAGGTGGCATCCGGGAGGCCCCCCCCAGGGGAAGCCGGGGAACCTCCAGGAGCAGGAGTAGGAGCCCCAGCCTTGGAAGCCTGGAAGTGGGGCAACCAGCATGGGACTGCTCAGGTCCAGCTGTGCAGGACCAGGGAGTTCCAACCTGTAGAATTGTTATTATATCAATAGTGTTTTCAAATGTCCGTGAATAGTACGATAGAGGGGTTTGGTTTTTTTTTTTAAACTTTTTGTTATATAAACCAAAATTAGATTGGGGGACAAGCTCTTTGCAGATGATTCTTTATGATAAATGAAGAGCTAATTCTTAAACACTTACATTTTACAAGTATTTTATACATTGTTTTGCAATTTTAAATAAACTTTAGTACTTTACAAAATTATAGCTTTATAGTGCCAAAATTCCTTTCTTTTGAGGGAAGAAAGTACATACCAAACACGAAATTCAAAAGCAAGTTTGTTTGTAGCATTTCTTTCCAAATGTCCTGTCAGAACTGGCAGGATTGTGGACCTATGCCTGCAAATGTTGCATGCCCTGTACAACCTGACAACCACACTTCAAGACTAGAGATTTCCTCCAAAAGGCAAAACATATGCCCAAAAAATGAAGTCTTTTTTACATTTATTAGAGTGGGGACAGACAGCCTAACCGAAAACATGAAACAAACCTTGATCAAAGAAGTATCAGTTTCTTGTTTTATATTTATTAGCATACTGACCTAGAAAAGAATATTTTTGAGCTTTTTCCCTATAATACAGTCTCTTCCCTTGTTTTCACTTTGCCAAATATTACCTTACCTATTGAAATGGTAGATGTCTTGTATGTTTCCAAACAGGGCTGATCGTTCTTCTGACCCCAGGGAAAGCTTGGATTGGTCAGTGATACAATCAAGGTAGTCCTGTGAAATAAATGAGAAGGAGGCCTTAAAACACTCCCATCCCTTTTCTGGATCAGTAAATGGAGCTTTCATTAATTGTGCAAGAGACAAGTCCCTTCCTATCAGTTTCACATTATATTACAATAATCCCCTCAGTAGCTCTTCTCTGAACAGTCATTCTATTATGAAAGATAATACTTATCTGTTCACTCAAACAAAGAAAAGAACTAAAAAGACTGAATGGTACATTGTATTGCCTAGATTAGACAGTGTACATGTTTATAGCTACAGACAGACAAATTAGTTCAGATTTCACCCATTACAGTTGCATTGTCTCAGATAATTCTTCATGTCAGTGATGTTGTTCCATATTCATTCTCTTTTTAAATGAGTGTTTTTTAGGATTTTTTTTTTAAGTAGTGAGTTATATTGGTAAAACAGTTGGATTTAATAGTGACTCCATAAACTGAGTTTTGGAAAATACAACTGCTTCACAGCTTTAAAGAGGATTTATTTTTAATTCCAGAAGAAATAACACACACTCACCACCAGTTTGCACAGGACAGAACTCCTATATTTTTATCCACGAGCACACAACTGAACCATATGGACCGTTAAACTCCATGCAACATTGACACATACTCCAGCAAAGATTTATTTTCATGTCTAGAATTGTTTACTTAATGCCATATGAAAAAGATAACTCAAAACAGGACAGTATTATTCTTGAAAGATCATAGCTACCAAACTCTCTTTGCTTCTGATAAGGGCTCTTCTCTGAATGTGTGTTGCCTTTCATTATTATGCAGCTGTAGTATTAGGGCTCCTTGGATAAGGGCAACTAAATCCAAAGAGTTGTTTATCAGAGCATAAAGTCATAAAGCTAGGAACCCAGGCACATTGCTACATTTATAAAGAAACTGCGCAGGAGGAAGGCAAACAATAAAGGAAAAGTAAAAACAGCTGAAACAATGTGAAATGAAAATAAATAAAATCCCTTACCCTGGGGCTAGACAATGTGGTATGGAACTCTACCAAAAGCAACACAACATTCCACAGTCACTAAAAAGAAGGAATGCTGTGAGCTGTCAAATAGACCACAAAAATCTTTAAGTAGAATGACGTTCCAAACACTTTAAAAAATATATTATAACAGACAATGCAGGACCCAATTCATCGTCAGTGTAAATCCAGTTGAGACCATGGATTTACATCCAATATAATCTGACCCTTGTCATTCAGATGTTCTTACAAGGCGTGTTTTGAATTACAGAACCTGAGTCTCTATCCACTGAGCCCTGTTTCTCCACTAGAATTGAACTAGCTGCAGCACAATGACAGATTTAAGAAAAATCAGGTATAATCATTCCTGTTCCTTTTTGTTACACCATTCAGTCATCTGCATTCCCATCTTCACTTACCTCACTTAAATTCTAGCACCAATATTCTCCCTGATTAAACGCGTCATTTACCAAAAGGATGTAACAAAACTAGGTCATGGGGCAACAAAATGGCAGATGAATTTTAATGCTGATAAATGCAAAGTAATGCATTTTGGAAAACAATCTCAACTATACATTCAAAACGATGGGGATTAAATTAGCCCAAGAGAGATATTGGAGTTATTGTGGGTAGTTCTCTGAGATCATCCAGTCAATGTGCTGCAGCTGTCAAAAAAGTGAACCAAATCTTAGGAGTCAATAAAAAAAGGATAGAGAATAAACAGATAATTTCTTATTGCTGCTATATAAATCCATGGTATGCCTACATCTTGGATACTGCATGCAGATGTGGTCACCTCATCTCAATATATCTAGACACTGGAACAAAATACAGGACTATGTAGCACTTTAAAGACTAACAAGATGGTTTATTAGATGATGAACTTTCGTGGGCCAGACCCACTCCCACTATTTGATCTGAGGAAGTGGGTCTGGCCCACGAAAGCTCATCATCTAATAAACCATCTTGTTAGTCTTTAAAGTGCTACATAGTCCTGCATTTTGCTTCAGCTACAACAGACTAACACGGCTACATTTCTTTCACTATTAGGCATTGGAAAAAGTTCAGAAAAGGGCAAGAAAAATGTTTAGGGGTTTGAAACAGCTGTCATATGAGGAGAGATTAATAAAACTGGGACTTTTCAGCTTAGAAAAGGAGAGATGACTTGGGGTGGATATGATAGAGTTCTATAAAATCATGACCAGTGTGGAGAAAATAGATAAGGAAAGCTTATTTACTTGCTCCTATAAGACAAGAACTAGGGATCACCAACTGAAATTAATAGGTAGCAGATATAACACCAACAAAAGGAAGTATTTCTTCGCACAGTTCACAGTCAATCTATGGAACTCTTTGCCAGAGGATCTTGTGAAGAGTTCAAAAAATAACTAAATAATTTCATGAAGGATAGGTCCATCAATTATTATTAGCCAGGGTGGGCAGGAATGGTGTCCCTATCCTCTGTATCAGAGGCTGGGAATAGGCAACAAGAGAGAGATCACTTGATGATTACTTGTTTTAGTCATTCCCTCTAGGGCACCTGGCACTGGCCACTATCAGAAGACAGGATAGTGGGCTACAAGGACTTTGATCTGACCCAGTGTGACCATTATTAGGTTCTTACCAGCACCATCTAAAAAAAGCATCTTATTTCTAATTGTTATTTCTAATTGTTACGATACTGCGCAAAGCTTCACTGCTTCAGAAATGGCAGGCAGCAAGTAACCAGCACAGCCTTGATTCTTCAAAGAGCCATTGTGTCATCTCTGCAAGGCACAATCCTACCCCTCCTTCCCCCCAGCAGCCAGTGACCTCACTGTTCCAGTCTGCTCTTCACGTGTATTCTGTGGACTTATTATGCAAAGCCCCTGGGGCTTTCTAAACCCTATACCTGACCTTTTGGTTTTACACTCAGGACCTGCCTCAGAGCACACAATTTGGAAAGTTTGCAGTTTAAATTGTTGCATTCTGCAGTCTGTCTAGCTAGGTCCAAGAGCCAGAAGCAATGACTCTTCCAGCTGTCATTTAAAGTTGTAGATCTTTTCAACAAAATTTAAAGAAGGCATGAATGTAATAAATTAACCTTCCCTGCACCACTAGTAAAACCAAACATGTAAGAATGAATAATATGGAAATCTCAGATGCAATTCCCATCCTTTAAAAATGTTTAAGGTTATTTTTAGCACTACAGGAAGGATTGCAACAGAAATCCTGGTGTTATATGAGTCACGACAGAACAAGTTTAAGAAAACACATACACATATTTTTACCAAATAAAGGAAAAGTTTCTTCTGCACATTAGTGCAATCTTACCTGTGTTCCATTTCCCCCCCACAAAAGTAATATTACACAACAATTTTTACATTTTCTTGTCACCACTGTACAGAAAATGACTTCAGTTTTATGACTTTGTTCACATCACCTCTGGTAATACTCCTGACATCTCTCTCATATACCCCAACACACGTGTGTCTGTCACCAATTCTTAGTAAAGAATAAAGAACCAGGGCTTTGCCAAAAAGGAAAACAGATCCACACAAGTTGGTGCTTCAGCTGCTGCTCACTGGTATGGTGAAACTATAGATCCAAAAACTGCTTTACTCTTTCTCAAGGCTGTAACAAGGGCGAGGCGAGTGAGGCTCAGAAAAATAATTTAGAAAACGAATTATTTTAAGACAGCGCCGCTTTCCTTTCCCGTCCCCTCATTAGTATTGGCCGGCCCTCAGTTTACGTGTCAGGCTGCACATTGCTGCTCCACAATCCAACAGTCACCAGTAGTGGCAACCGCCCAGCGCATCAGCTGCTTCCAAGTGGCATATGAGGCTGGGCATTGGATCAGCCGCGCCAAGCACCTCCTTAAGGTGCCCTAGTGCAGTTTCCAGGCACGGAGCTGGGGGAGAAGGACCTCAGATTGCCCCAAACATGGGCAGAGGTGGTGGCGTCAGCCTGGGAGCCAGGACTCCTGAGTCTTGTATCACCTCTGCCAGGGGAGTGGCTCTAGGTCTTAGAGGTATGTGATTAGAGCTGGGGGTCTGGGAGCTACCATCCTTGGGTTCCATGTGTCGGGGCCCAGGCCCTTAGCCTGTTGGAGTCGGTTTCCCCTCCAAAAACAGGAGCCCATGCTGCTGAGCTGCCTGTGCCAAGTGCTTTGAATGTGCTACACAAACCAAGACAGTGACTGGCTTCTTGCAAAAGAAGTTTTGGTAAACTAAAATGAATTAAGAACTACCTTAGAGCATCCACAGGTCAGGAAAGATTATCAAATATGTCCATCTTATCAACAGAATATGAGGTAGTGAATAATATTAATTTCAACTCAATTCTTGATGAGTTTGCCTCATTAAAAGCGTGCAAAGTACAATTATAAACAAATACCTAATAGAACCTGACATGGTGATATTTTATAATTATATTATATATGTATTAACTGATTGTTTATGCAGCTCTCATAACTATAATAAATAAACATTGTGTTATTATTTGTTATTTATGTATTTTCCCTTTTTCTATGAAAAAACTACTATGAATATATACACGAGGGGGCGCGATTTTATATTCTTGCCTCAGGCGTAAAATTAGCTAGTTATGGTACTGCTCTTTTGAGAAGTTTTCCTTATAGCTACATTTCCTTATAGCTCTCCCTTTCCCAAAATTACTTTAAAAAGAAATTAGGAACTCATTATTTCTGTGTTTGTTTTTTGCAGATTAATATGAACAATGCAACTGTTAAAGAAAAATGACTGAAAGAGTTAATGAAGAACTTAATGAAGGGTATACAATCACCCTTTCACTGAACTAAGACTCTTAAGATTGCTTTCAAAATCCTAATGACTTTTAATAGTATTGCACTCACAGAAAAGTCCTACAACTATGAAAGTGATGTTCAACAAATCAGAAAAGGAAAGGGAATAGAGAAATCCTGTCCAAAAAGTAGCTCCATCGAATCACGAGGAGGAAATTTATTTTTCCCCAATTAAAAAACAAACCCTTATTTTCTTTTGTCTGAAAGAAACTTGAGA